TGATTAATCACATGTGTAAAGTACAGTGTTTACAGGAAATCAGCAGGTGGCAATTAGCATTTTGGAAATTATCTGGGAAACAACTGGAGCTGCCACTTCAGGAGGGAAACATGGCAGTAATCAGCAAAGTGACAAACCCCCTTGGAGCTGGGAATGAGCAGGGCTGGGAGTGGGGGGCTGCCAGGCACACAGCAGCAGCTGGTGGGGGCAGCCCGGTGTGGATCACAGACTGCTTGCCAGCCATGTTCTTTTCCTCCCAACACTCAAGAAGCAAGTCTTTGGGTGAAAGTAGTTGAAATAGTTGCCTGGCAGGCAGACCGTCTCAGGACAACCATTAAAAAACACTCACTACTACCACTACCACCACCACCACCATTCAGACCTCGGTCTGGGCACAAGCAGGCGCTGGCACTACTGATCTAGTAGTTAAAATATGGGACTATTTCAAGACTCATTTGTAAACCAGCTACTGTCTTGAGCCCGCCGAGTGGTATTCTACTGCCGCCTTTCCAGAGGAAAACTCTCACATCCTCAGGAGCCAGTGACCAAAAGGTTAAAGCCCAAATCCCACTCTAGTGCTGAGTCCAGGGTCCATTCTGATGGGTCAGTGCCTGTGCTGATTGTTGAATATTTCCTGTATCACCCCTCAGGAGTTTTGGTGACCGCTGTGGAAGGCAGAAACAGGATGGGTATATCAGAGGGAACAGGAAGAGAGAACATTGCATGGTCCGTTTGATACTTAAGGTGCTCTTCATCCATAATTGAAAAAATAGATATATTCTTTTTTTAAAAAGATTTTATTTATTCATGAGACACACACACACAGGCAGAGACACCCGCAGAGAGAGAAGCAGGCTCCTCACCAGGAGCCTGATGTGGGACTCCATCCCAGGGCCCCGGGATCACAACCTAAGCCAAAGGCAGACACTCAACCGCTGAGCCACTCAGGGCCCCCAAAATAGGTGTATTCAATATGTATATTTATGCCTATATCTAATCATCTATTTATCTGTATCTATACCTACACTTTTACAGCTATGCCTGTACCATCTATGTCTACATCTATACCTATAACGAAGGGGCAGTGTAGCCATGCTGTATTATTTACTAGCAGTGTGGCCTAGCATCAAGAACAATGTCAACCATTGGCTCTCCACACTGGCTGCGCATTAGAATCATTTCTTGAAGCTTTTGCAAACCGCAGGTGCTTGGGCCCCACCCATAAGAGATTCTGGTCCTATGGATCCAAGATGAGTTCCGACCATCAGAATTAAAAAAAAACAACAAAAAACAAATGCCCCTCAGATGATTTTAAGGTGCCACTGAGCACCACAAAAACCTTCTAAGCTTGCACTTGGTCATATAATGAACACCGGTGCCCATTTTGTGGGATTCAGGGAGATAACATATGTAATGCTTTTACCAGAGGGTAAGGCTAAACCCTATACATGTTAGTTTCATTAATAATATTCAGTACTTAAGAAAGCAGCTTTGTTATTTTTTTAAATACATGGGGAACAAGTAAATTCATACTAGTTATGAACAATTCAAGTAACAGATAAGGAGTAAAAAGTGATGGTATCACTTATCATCTTATGTACTTACCATACTTAAGTGATTATCCTTACCACCTATGCATACTGAGACAGTCACTCTTATGTTCCCATGCATATCCTTCTCGAAATTTACCTTTGCCTTTACTTACAAAAAAAAGTTCACCTTCCTGTAAGTCTTTAATAATGTAAATAGAGCCATTTGCATTGTTTGGTGACTTCTTTTTTCACTTAGCAATAGGTCTATATGTCTCGGAGATCTCTCTATGTCAGTAAATACAAGTCTACCTTGTTATTTTAACGATTACATCCCTCATACTGATAACGGAAGCACCAAAGTTTACTTAACCACTCCCCATACCTGTGGGCATTTTAGAGAGTCTCCAAATTTTTGCTCTTCCAAATACAACTGCAGCAAACACTTTTGTACGTGCGTCTTTGTGCAGGGGGATGGGTTTTCTTTAGATTATCCCTACAATCCATAGTGCTGGGTCAAAGCATGCATTTTACATTGCAGGTAAGATGATGTTCTTACCTAATTCTGCCTAATTGCTCTCCACAAAACTGTCAATTAGCATTCTTAATGATGAATGAGCATGCTTGCTTTCCATCTCTTTTATTTCCCCTAATTTTTTAGGGGAGGTATTTTTGCTTTAGGAAAATACAGCCCATGGCTGGGTAGCAGGACTTAAAAACAAAGAGTCTCTGTCTTTTACTTTTCGCTAATGACAGCGAGCACCTTTTCATGTGCATATTGGCACATGAATTCCCGCTCAAGTATTTCACTCTTCAAAAAAGTGGGGCTTTGTGTCTTTGGCATTTTGGTGTATGGTCTATTTCAAATTCATTTTTGCATGTGCAGTGATCAGAGGTGGAGATTCATTTCTATTTTTTCCTGTATGGATGTTCATTTGTTCTAGCATCATTTGTTAAAAATTCTTCTCTTTCTTTTTTTTTTTTTTTTTTAATTTTTTTTTATTTTTTTTTTTTATTTATTTATGATAGTTACAGAGAGAGAGAGAGATGCAGAGATATAGGCAGAGGGAGAAGCAGGCTCCATGCACCGGGAGCCTGATGTGGGATTCGATCCCGGGTCTCCAGGATCGCGCCCCGGGCCAAAGGCAGGCGCCAAACCGCTGCGCCACCCAGGGATCCCTCTTCTCTTTCTTTTTCATTGACTTGGCACCTTTGTTGAAAATGAATGAATTGAATATGTGTGAGTCTTCCTGGACTCTATTCTGGTCCATTGATTAGCCTCTCCTTACTTTGAGTCTTCACCTTTTAATTGGAGATTACTAGTATCGTTTGTTGACTATCTTCTATTGTCTGAATTTTAAAATCAGGCCCAGTCTTTCCGTTTAACAGCAAGGGATAAGAAAAGCAAACAAGAGGGATCCCTGGGTGGCGCAGTGGTTTGGCGCCTGCCTTTGGCCCAGGGCACGATCCTGGAGACCCGGGATCGAATCCCACATCGGGCTCCTGGTGCATGGAGCCTGCTTCTCCCTCTGCCTGTTTCTCTGCCTCTCTCTGTGACTATCATAAATAAATACATTTAAAAAAATTTAAAAATATTAAAAAAAAGAAAGAAAAGCAAACGAGAACTGTCTGACTGCTAGAAAGCCAGTTCACAAGTCCTCAGGAGACTGAGCCCAGATTTTTAGTGTTGTCTGGTCTGCCACTGGTGTTGCCTGCCACTGATGAGTGGCCGTCTGGTAACAGAATGAGGCAACGTAGCTTTACCAACGTCTTCTACCTAAGTTACGACCGTGTCAGGAAGAGATAAACAGAACCACAGCTTCTCCTTAAATTTGGATCTCAAGCCCATCTCCCACTCCTATCTTTTGCTAACGTCACAAAAACCTCCCAAACTATACCCCAGACCTTCTGCCTAAGTGGAACCTTCTAGACCCATATACAGTTCTGCCTATAATTTGTTTATTGTGTCCACTGCATCGGCATATGACTTTTCTAACTGTAGTATCATTATCAAGAAGAGGAGACCCTCTGTATCTACTTTGCTAGGGCTGTCCTAACAAACTACCAAAAACTGAGGGACTTCTCACAGTTCTGGAGTCTGAGATCAAGGTGCTAGCAGAGTTGGTTTCTTTTGAGTCCCATCTCCCTGACTTGTGGAGGGCCACATCTTCTCCTTGCATCTTCTTCCTGCATCTTTGCATTGACTTCTTTTCTCAGAAGTAACACCAGTCATATTGGATTAGAGTTACCTTAATGACCTCATTTTAACTTATTTAACTCCCTTAAAGACCCCAATCTCCAAATACAGCCACATTTTGAAGGTCTTGGGGGTTAGGACTTGAACATGTGGTTTGGGAGAAGACACAGTTCAGCCTATAACGCTCTCTAATGGAGTGGTCAGACATGGGCTGGCCCCATTCAGCCACAGCTGGACACCCTGCTGTACCTGGCTGGACTCAGCTATGATTTCAGCTCACCTCACTCCTGTAGCCCCAGGAATACACAACCCTCTATTCCCTTTTCTTCTCCTAAGGGCCTCCTTGAATTCCCACTTTAATTTTAGTGCTGTTAACATGACATACATAATCTATCCAAACCTTTTATAAATTTATTTCTTAAATTAATATATTTCTCTCAGTGCAATAGAGTTACCTTTTGATCAACTTGCCTTTTAAAAGTTTCGCTTCCTTTTTTTCATCCTGTTTTATATTTTCTGTTTATAGTAATTCCTTGATCTGTCCCCCCCTCACCCCCCCCCCCATTCTCCTGCATACTGTTGCATTGATTGAGTTTCTTTGGTTCATTTTTTCCATATTGGGTTTTGGAAATTATAGATCTTATTCTGTTTTTCAGTGGTTGCCCTAACATTTTAACACATTAAAAAATCATTATTAAATTAGAACACAAATATGAAAAAGAAAGCTGAGCAATACAGAAAGGCATAACATGTAAAGTGAAAGTCTTTCACTTCCAGACTTTTCACTTCTTATTACACTCCCCAGAATAACCTATTTTTTTTTAACCATTTCTCTTTTTAAGTATTCTGGTTGTTGCTTCCTTAACTTAAATAATATTTTTATACTTTTACTTTTTTATTTATCCTATATAGGCAGTATTTATTGATGTTCAATTTTGAAAGTTAAAGAATAATCTTAGTTAAAATCCCACCTCCAAATTTAACTAGCTACCTTTTTATTTGTAGTTCTTCTAGCGATCATTCCTATAAGGTAAATATGATCTTTAAAATTTAATTTTTTTGTTCTATTATCTTTAGACGGTATCTCTTGGTACTATCAAAATGGTGGAAATTAATGCTCTTACATTTTTTTTTTTACTTCCGTCTGCCTCCCAACTTCTGTGCGTTGCAAGGCTGATAACATTTACATTTTGCTAAATAGGTTTGGCACAGAAATTGAAAATGAACAAGCACCACTTACAATATTATGATAATATAACTATCTTTCATTGCAGAGCCAAGTAGTATGATAGGACTTCTAGAAAAGAAAACATGATCTTATATTGTGAAACTGCATGCCCAAAGGTAGGTATTCTGGGATATCAGGGTGAAACAAACTCTTTTAGGATCCATAGAATCTAGTTCAGAATCACTTTACACTTTAGTTGGCTTCATATTTGATCCTAACTTCCTAATATGGCTCTCTCTCTCTCTTTTTTTTTTTTTTTTTGGTCCTAGAATTTCTGATTTCCTTCCCCTTTTCCATGCCCACCCCTGCCCACAACCCAAGAAGCATATCTTTGTGACTTCCCTAAGATTGCTCATATTTCCAACAGATTCCTAATGCCACCTTCTTTATATGTAAAGACACCTGCCCCAGAACCTCTAGGACTCCCAGCTTGGGTATAAACTAGGTGCTGCACAAATGGCCAAGGGTCTCCACTTCTTATACTCTTAGGTTGGTTCCATTCTATCTTAGAGCCCCCCTCCCCCACGGTTTTTTTTAAATAAGGGCATGAAATGGGCACTTGTGTGGCTCAGTCAGTTAAGTGTCCGACTCTTGATTTTGTCTTAGGTCGTGATCTCAGGGTCATGAGATCCAGTCTTGTGTTGGTCTCTGTGCTCAGCATGGAGTCTGCTTGAGATTCCCTCTCTCCTTCTGCCCCTGCCCTCTGCTACCAACCCCACCTCCCCCTCCACTGGCTCTATGAGAGGTCAATTTTCTGAATTCTTGAATGTCTGAAAAAATAACTCTGCTACATTTTATGCATAGTTTGGCTATTCATAGATTTATATTTTTCTACCTGGCAGAACAGTTTCTCACATTATTTCCTTTCTTATTTTATCGCCTCTGTTTTCTTTGTTCCTTCCTTCTCAAACTACTGATGGACCAATGGAGGAATCTCTATATTCTCTATTTCTCTGAACTGGGTTTACCTCAGACTTTCAATCTTTTGGTTCTTTTGTAATTCATTCGAGGAGTCTCTCAGCTTGATCTCTGAGATTACAAGTTCAGACTTTACTCCTTGATGCTATATGCTGCTCTTACATTGAGATATCTTAAATGATAGCAAGCATGGTTTTTAAGATTTATTTTTTTAAAAGTTTGTTTATTTTTAGGTTCTCTCTTCACCTAATGTGGGGCTTAAACTCATGACCTGAGATCAAGAGTTGCATGGTCTTCTGACTGAGCCAGCCCAGTGCCCCAATTTTTAAAATTTCTAAGTAATTAAATTACTTATTATTATTTTTTAAAGATTTATTTATTTATTTATGAGAGACAGAGACAGGCAGAGGGAGAAGCAGGCTCCCTGCAGAGAGCCCAATGTGGGACTCCATCCTGGATCCCAGGATCACACCCTGAGCTGAAGGCAGATGCTCAACTGCTGAGCCACCCAGGCATCCCATTTATTTTTTATTAACATGATTTTTAAATATATGTGATTTCTTATAGAATATATTTCTAAAAGATTTATTTATTTATTATTTGAGAAAGAGAGAGAGAGAGTAAAGGAGTGACAGAGGGAGAGAATCTCAAGGAGACTCCCTGCTCAGCACGGAGCTGGATGTGGGGCTTGATCACACAATCCTGAGATCACCACCCAAACCAAAACCAAGAGTCAGTTGTTTAACTGACTGAGCCACCCAGGTGCCACTCTTATAGTATATTTCTGAAACTATCAATTATATGATTTTAACATTTTCTTTTGCTTCTTCAACTAATTTTTTTAGGATTTTTTTTCTCCCTTTTTCATGAAATTGGTGCTTTGCTTTCATGGCACTGGTTTTCTTCTTAGACTGGAATGGAGCTTGAAATCTAGATTCTACATAATTTTATTTTGGAAATTCATAGACATTGTCTACCTTCTGATATTCAGTGTTAAAAAGTTTGATATTGTTTTTTTCTTCTATGGGTAATTGGTTTTACATTTTTTATTTCTTGGAGCTTCTAGGTTATTCATTTTGTCAACTGAAAGATAAACACACCTTCAGGAATCACCAGATGTTTGGGAAATAACATTATTAAGAGTTTGGTAGCAATATGAGTAAACTAAAGAACCAAGGCATGAGGAAATGGGAAAATAGAGAAATATAGAAAAGACCTTAAAACAAGCAAAACTCACATTTTAAGTCATTAGACAAGAAATGACATTCAAAACCATTTTATAGGCTGATATGAGAAGCAGCCATTAAAGATCTTAAAAAGAGCACAGTGCTGTAAAAAACTCAAGATACATTAGATCATTGAAAAAACACCATTGAAAATAACATCTGTGATGGTTTTTCCCAACATGCAGCATAAAAAGACAACAAAAAGGAAAGAAAAGAAATGATACAAAATTTAGGAAGTAGGAAGATAAATCTAGAAGCTCCTGGGAGACAGTGTGATCAGTAGCTTCAAATTCATGAGGCAAAATAATTTTGAACTGAAAATTTTAGGATCCAATAAACTGTTTGCATGTGAGATTCTCTTCCTGCTTGAATGGGGATGGGAGTTCTCATCTGTGAACTTGGGGTTTCTTGTTGGTCTGCTGAAAAGAACTGTTCTTTTTTTTTTTTTAAAGACCTGTTTTTATACCTGTAGGACCTTTCTTCAGTGTATATTTTGGGCTCTCCTTTTCCTCTCTTTTTATTAAATCAAAAAGACCAATCCATAGTCTTTTTATATCTCAGAAACAAACAAAACTCAAAATATCTGGGTTTTCTTGTTTTATTTTAAGATTTTATTATTTATTTATTTATCTATCTATCTATTTATTTATTTATTTTAAAGGTTTATTTATTTATTTATTTATTTATTTATTTATTTATTTATTTATTCAGAGAGAGAGAGAGGCAGAGACACAGGCAGAGGGAGAAGCAGGCTCCATGCAGGGAGCCCGACGTGGGACTCAATTCCGGGTCTCCAGGATCCCACCCCGGGCTGCAGGTGGCGCTAAACTGCTGTGCCACCGGGGCTGCCCAAAATTTTATTTATTTATTCAGAAGAGACACAGAGAGAGAAGCAGAGACATAGAGGGAGAAGCAGCCTCCCTGTGGGGTGCCTGTTCCAGGACTCGATCCCAGGACCCTGGGATCATGACCTGAGCCTAAGGCAGACTCTCAACCACTGAGCCACCCTGGTGCCCCCAAATATCTGGTTTTTAAAAGATTCACAATTTTGAAACTATTTTGTGTGAATCTTAATAAAGAAATGTGTTGTGGATCACAAGAGAGAAGTTTCTCCATGCTAGAAAAGGGAAAAATGTGGAAAAAGGAAAGGCTAGAATAAATCCAGTGGTGTTGGATTGGAACTGGATATATCAGTGTGAATTCATGGTTTTAAATATTGGTAATAAATGCCAGAAATAAATATGTAGTGTATATATATCTCTGTCTGTCTCTTTATCTATCTATGGGGTGGGCTAGCAGCAATAACAGCCCAGTAACTAACAATGACCATATCTAGGACCCATATCATAGTGTTTAAATCCAATTCTCCCAATCAAAAGAATCAAAACTTCTTTTAAAAAAATTAATTTACTTTTGGGGCGAGGATGGCAGAGAGAGGGAGAGAGAGAGAATCTCAAGCAGACTCCCCACTGAGTGCAGAGCTCAAAGCATGGCTCAATATCACACCTAAGATCATGACCTGAGCAGAAAGCAAGAGTCAGATACTTAACCAACTGAGCCACCCAGGCACCCCAAGAATCAAAACTTCTGAAAGAAATGGCTGATTCCAGAGCAAGAGCAGGGAATATATAATATTTGTTATATCAGAAAGCTAGGAAGAAGCTAAAATGATGGGGATATGTTAAAAAGACTCAGGAGCCAGTTTTGAGGGGCCTGCACTGGCCAAACTGGGGATAGTTTGAACAACCAAATAAATAAAAAATAAATAGTAATGGATAATGATCTATAGCATTAGATAAGGATCTACAAATCCAAATAGATTTAATAGATTTATCCATATACCTAGATAAATAGAGGAGGGAAACCTTTTGCTTACAGTTGAATTGCAACTGGTAAATATGGAAGCAGTGAAAGAATCAGAAGAAAATCACTCTTTGGTAATCATGACAGTCATAATTTTTTTAGGCAAAAATCAGCAGTGGATGTTAAAACTAGTACGTAAATGTATGATGAGAAATAAGACACTTACAGAATCTCAGAGTATCTCCCCAAAATAAATTTATTTTTTATAAAAAGAAAAATAGTAATAGTTGAGAAATAGAGTTGAGAAATGTGGCAGATATCACCTTGACCTAGTAATCCTATCTTTCTGCACTGAATATAAGTCCCCAACCATGGGGATTTATTTCTGTTTTATTAACTTCTATTAACTAGAATAACACTGGGCACATAGTAGGTCCTCAATAAACAGTTTTTGACTGAATATTCAGGTTTATGCTTATATTTATAAGCTCATACTCATAGGCTATGTTTTTTGGTGAACTTTTTATCATTACTTATTCTTTATCTACTTGATCTGTCATGGGCTAGGAAAATGGAATGAATGCTTAGTGCCTTTGCATTTTTGTCTTGTTCTTGTAGGTTCTGCTGTCTTTGCTGTAAGAAGCATTGTGAAGGCATGTTATTTAGTATGTAAACACTTATTTTATTGTAGAGAGTGAGAAACAGAGGAAGAGGGAGAGAGAATCCTGAGTAGGTTTCATGCCCAGCATGGAGTCTGACCCCAGACTGCAGTCTCACCACCTTGAGATCATGACCTGAGCTGGAATCAAGAGTCAGTTACTTAATGAACTGTGCCACCCAGGAGCCCCTGGTATATAAATATTTATAATGGTTAGATCTTCATGTGGCCTGTACCTTTGTCATCACCAACATAAACCTCTTTGCTTAGTTTAATACTTTCTTCATGTTGTTAATCTAATCTCACAGTTATGAAACAGTTCATGATTTCTTTTTTCATCTGTATTTTCTTTTTAAGCACTCTAATTTATTGCCTGTTCATTCATTTCAGCCGATACGCTTTCCTAAGTCTCTGCCCTCTTTTCCTGTGTTGTCCACAGCAGTCAAGAGAGACATGACTATTTCGAGGCAGACTGTATTAGCTCTAACGGAATGATTTCCTCTTTACTTCTCCATCTGTCCAACTAGCATTTTACCTTGTGAAACGTTCTTCGATTTCTCAGGTAGAGCTAGTTACTCTCTCCAATGTGTAATATAATACTTTGTATATTTCTGGAATAGCCTTTAGCATATTTATCAGACTATATTTTAATGTTTTCTGCAATAAAGATGTCCTGTTCTCTGTAGTTTTGAAATTCCTGAGGCCGAGGATGTCCCCACAGTCTGGATTCTGGCTTCTCATTATGAGTTACTTTAGTTTTCACCTTGTGAGACAGTTAAAGCAGGATTTGGGATTTCTTTACATCCCCTGAAAAAGAAATCACACTTCCTTAAGCATTAGTAAGCAGTGCAGATCTTACTGAAGATTTCGTAGGGAAGCAGCAGAGAATTTTGCATGATACTTCATACAGCACACAACTTCAAAAAATGCTCACTGCCATGAATCTCCTAGCCTGTTTCTCCTTGGCCTAAGCTTCCAGAGAGCATCAGACTCCAGCCACCCCCTCTCCTTCACCTTCCTTGAGAATTGTCCTCTCTTCCTCTATCTCAGAACTGATAAGTTAGATCCCTCCTGGCTTTTGTATCCAAACTTGCAAACCACAGCCTTTTATCACTACTACCTTCACATTTGCCAGAGACCAGTATAGAAGAATAAAAATAGTTTGCTTTTAGTAAACAAAAAAGCCCTTCAGTTACCACCTACTTTAGAGCAGAGTCATATGATCTTTTTTTTTTTTTTTTTTTTTTCTTTTTTGAGAGGGGTCACATTTGTCCTTTGGTGGCTTCTCACAGTGTTTAGTGTTTCCGGGCAGGGTTACATTCCCTGCTTCATGTGATCCTCAGCAGAGCCCCTCGAGGCATCAAGCATCGTGAATGTAAACTGCAAGGGAAGGCATCTGTCTTAAACCACCTCCATCTCAGTGGGGAAGGCAGGATTGGAATGCAGGTCTTTTGAGTTCAGCTTCAGGGCTATTTCTCTTGTTTTTAGTGGGCACACATTCCTCAGGCTACAGCCCTCCAGTGTGCAAACACGTCACCTCCTTTCAGTTAGATACTCTGGCTTGGTTTCTGTTCTGAGTCCCACTGTGGGGAAGGTTGGACTGTAATCTTAGTCAATTTGAATGAAGTTCTTTCAATTCCAGCTTTTCTCACTCAATTCCAATTACTCTCAGTCAGTTCCTCATTTTCTTTCTTGCACTTGTGTCCATGTCCTAGGGGAGCTTACACAGTTCCTTAGCATTGCTGAGCCCATATCCTCTCCTCTGTCCCATCAGGCATCCATAAAGATTGCTCATGTTTGTCTGTTCCCCGCTTTCCTTTGTGTCACCCTTGGCCAAACTGCAAGGGTTCCTTGAGTACACCTTCCGTGGATCCTTCCTGAGTGGAAATAGGGGCAGGGAGAGAATCAGATGGAGAGGATCCCTGGGTGGCGCAGCGGTTTGGCGCCTGTCTTTGGCCCAGGGCGCGATCCTGGAGACCCGGGATCGAATCCCACGTCGGGCTCCTGGTGCATGGAGCCTGCTTCTCCATCTGCCTGTGTCTCTGCCTCTCTCTCTCTCTCTCTGTGTGACTATCATTAATAAATAAAAGTTAAAAAAAAAATCAGATGGAGCCTCAGACTGGGGCAGGAGGGACCACAACAGGGAGTCTTGGCTGGGGGTAATGACAACTCACAGCTTTTTATAATGGATTTGTGGCTTCACATTGTTTGCTTTTCCCCCCAAAGATTTATTTATTTATTTGAGAGAGAGAGAGAGAGAGAGAAAGGGAGACAGTGTGTGTGAGAGTGGGGGAGAGGGAGAGCAAGAGAGAATCTTGAGCACACTCCCCACTGAGCATGGAGCCCTATGTGGAGCTCCATCTCACAACTCTGACATCATGACCTGAGCCGAAATCAAAGCCAGATGCTCAACCAACTGAACCACCCAGCTGCCCCTCTGGTTCACCTTTGTGTCTTTGAGTAAGCCACCTACCCTGTGTTGGATTTCAGCCAGACTGGAGTGGAGGTTGGGAGGCCCTGACTTTTATCCTGGTTTTATGCATGCACTGGCTAATGAGGTGGAGTGCGTGTTTCATAGCCTCCCAGCATCCATTCTCTCATCTGCAAAATGGGCTAATAGCATCTGGCATGGCTTGCCACGCGGGAGTTTGCAGAGGATCCAATGAGCAAGTGGGTAAATTTTGAGTCCTTTAAGAAGTCAAATATGTGTATGGAAAATGAATGTGTAAAGATTAGGAGATGTCTTCTCCTATCCTGTCTTTCTTTTTTTTTTTAAATTTTTATTTATTTATGATAGTCACAGAGAGAGAGAGAGAGATTGGCAGAGACATAGGCAGAGGGAGAAGCAGGCTCCATGCACCGGGAGCCCGACATGGGATTCGATCCTGGGTCTCCAGGATCGCGCCCTGGGCCAAAGGCAGGCGCCAAACCGCCGCGCCACCCAGGGATCCCCTATCCTGTCTTTCAAGGGTTTCCTGACATAGTCAAGCTTACTGGCAAGAAAGACAGAGGTCCTCCATGAACTAGTTATGTTTTTTTTCCACTGGGATGGTGACCTTGCTCCTTCAGGTGATACTTGTGAGTGTCAATCCAGAAGCTAACAGCAGAGGGCATCCTGTGCCCAAAAATGACAGGACTCTCTTGCAGACTCCCAGGAGTTCTAAGAATGCATGGCCAAGGATTATGATAAAATACATGTTGGATCCACTAATATTGGAATCTGGGAGTGCAGCTCAGGATTGCTATTTGTTTTTGCTCTATATACTTCTTTAAAATTATTTTTTTGAAAGGAACACACACACTTGGTTAAAAAAATTAGAAGTGTACAGAAGTTTTATATAAGACTGCCAACAGTACCTATCAGGCCCACACAACCTGCACCCCACCCTTTCACAACTCTGACCTCGAATCCCACCCTCTGCCCTGGCTCCAGCCCACCTTTGCCCTTGCTGTTTCCTTTAACCAGAAGGCTCTTCCTGTACATATCAAGGTGATATCTCTTACCTTTCAGATCTTGATTCAAATGTCACCTTCTCTGGCTTTCTCCTATAATATTGCATTCCTTTCAGCCCTCCCTCCTCTCATTCAAATGGTGCCTGGAACATGGCATCATATGTTATTATTATTGCTTCCCAGAGTGCTTATTACTTTTGCTCAGACAGTATATTGTACTTGGTTATTATTAAAATTTGTCTTAACCCTAGAAAGCAAACTTCATGAGGACAGGAACA